AAGAGCATAAAATTACCATATGATTCACTATTCTACTTCTGGGTATTTATCTAAAGAATATAAAAACACTAATTAAAAATGGTATATGCACGCCTCTGTCCTCTGCAGCATTATTTACAATATAATAGCCAAGATATGGAAAAAACCTAAGTGTCCATTGATGGATAAATGGATAAAGAAGACGTGGTATATGTATACAATAGAATATTACTTAACCATAAAAAGAATAAAATATTTCCATTTACAACAATGTGGATAAATCTTGAAGTGAAATAGATCAAAAAGAGAAAGACAGATACTATGATTTCACTCATATGTATATTTTTTTTAAAAAAGAGTAAGGTATGAAGAGGGAGACAAAAAGAGTAACTTTACAGTGTAGAAACCTAACACTACTTTGGTCATGTGATCAAGGTCAACATCAACAATCATAAACCACGTAGAAAGTGTGTTATCTTGACATGATGTAATAAAAGTGATACTTTATCTTTGTCACCTCCCTCTCAGAAGTCCATAAGCCAGTCAAATAAGCAGGCAAATTCCAATAAATGGGCATCCTATGATAGGCCAGGCTAGTATTCCTCAAAACTGTCAAAGTTGTCAGAGAAAGTCTAAGAAATTATCCCAGCCCACAGCAGCATAGGGAGATTTGACAACTGAATGTAATGTGATATCCAGAAGTGATCCTAGAACAGAAAAAAGACACTAGATAAAAACTAAGGAAACTTGAATAAACTACGGACTTTAGTTAATAACACATCAATACTGGTTTATTATTTGCAACAAACACAGCATAAGATGTTAATAATAGAAAAACCTGGGGACAAGCATTAGATATGAAGAAATATATAAAATAATAAAAAGATAAAAGGAAAGTATTCTAACTATTCTAGTATTCACTCAATGGAACATGCCACTTGACCAAGTAACTTGTCATCAGGAGTATATAAAGAAGGAGTCATGAACTGGAAAGTTAGACAAACTCTCCATAGCTTGCTTCTTTTTTATAGATGAAATGATTTAACATTCAGAAGCAAGATCTGAGGTATGACAAAGTATTAAAATGCTTCCAAATGAAAGAATTGAAATGTTTTATATTATCTACATAATTAGTTTGTATACTATTCTGAATCGAGAAAACTAATCAACTATATAAGGTAATATCTATGTTTCCTCTCTGATCAGATTATCTGATTAACATCCTTCCCTGTGTTTTAATGGCATGATGTTGTAGTACATATAGTCCTTCTCAATGGAGAGTGGGTCAACTTTAATCAAAGTTTCTCAGTTAAGGAGAAATACAATTATGGCAAGTAACAAGTTTAGGCTACGGATGGTAAAGAGTGACTACAAGAAAATAGAAAGGCAAGAAGGATTTGTGTCTGTGGGAAAATTCACTATGTCATAGTGTCAAACCATCCTTCTAGCTTTCAGTGTTCAAAATACTAGAGCAAGATGAACTAAATCAAAGACCCCTTTGACACTAAGTGAACCCATTTATTCCAAGGATCCTACTTAAGCAAGTGAGGCCTTAGAGAAGAATAAAGAGTGTAGTGTTTAAGAGCACATGTGCAGTTAAACTGCCTGGTTGAACTGCAGGCAGCTTTGCCTTTATTAGCCATGTAGCTTAGGCAAGTTTCTTAACCTTTCTGTTCCTAAGTTTCTTCACCTGTAAAATGGGCTATAGCATTCCTAATTTAGAGGGATGCTGTGATGTAAAAGTGAAATAATCTAGTTAAAGTTCTTAGCACACTGCCTGGTACACAGTAATTTTACAATTATTATTACTTCGAAATTTCCTCAGTACAAAACTACTTGGTCTTTGTATGTACACAATTCATAGAAGATATACAGGGTCCAGCAAAAGTAATGCCTGCTTGAATGTGGTTGGTAGGGTAATAAAATGGGTGTAATAATTTATAGTTTTAATTTGAACATTTCACCTAAAATGTCATATAGTGTACATTATGACATTTAAAATGTCATTATGACATATAAAATGTCAATATCAGTGTGATATTGTTATGTTACAGAATTACAAAAAAAATTTACATGCTTATGGTTTTATAATAAAAGCCTTTGTAATAAAAAAAGGGGTGTTATTTGTGCCAGAACCTGTATATGTGGCCCTGGCCAGGTGGCTCAGTTGGTTGGAGCATCATCCCATACACCAAAAACAGTTGCAGGTTTGATCCCCAGTCAGAGCACATGTGGGAGGCAAGAAATCAATGTTTCTCTAACGTCAATGTTTGTTTCTCTCTCTCCTTTCCTCTCTCTAAAATCAGTAAACATATCTTTGGATGAGAAATTTAAAAAGATGAATATGTGGTCTACCAACCTTTCAGAGCTCCACAGGCTTGGGCACAAATTCCACAACTCAAAAACATCTGTACCCCAGAAGTTTACCTCTCAGTCAGTGGAACACATTTCCTACATGCACAATCAAATCAAGTAGTGTTTAAATTATTACACAGGTGAAAGGTGTGAGTAGAGCTGAGCCTCTAGCTGTGATCCATACCACTGCTTTAATGGGTAGGCCTTCTACAGCACCTGGGAAGAACAGAACACAGTGACCCTGGGAAGATCACATCTTCCCCTGACACTGTTAACAGCTTCAGGATTACATTTTATGTTTGAGGAATTCAAGAAGAACCTATTCTGCCCTGTGCCAAGGACATCATTGATTTTAAAATAAAAAAATACAGGTATTTGTTGTTATTTCAAAACCTGAATATGCTTTTGGTGATACTCTTTCAAAAGCTGGATACTCTGTAGTTGGCAATATCTTGGTACCAAGTCTGAATCTCCCTCTAACAATTAAGAACACAGCAACAAAAATACACACTCTAATAAGCCTAGAGTTACTTTAAGGAATAATTATGTCCTTGTGAATCTTTTATAGCCACCACCAAGCAGACAGACTAGTCTGTCTTCTCTATGGATCTATATAACTCATCTACTCCTTACTAAGTAATACTGATCAGGAAAACTACCTAAAATTAGACAGAAAAAAAAGTGAAGGAGAAGACTTTAAAAAATTTACAAAGTCAGTCAAGAAGTAAAATGTGAAGAATTCACAACATTCAAAAAAGCTAGCTATTTTGCACATTTACATTGCACATATGTAAATCAAGATCTTGGTTTCCCAATACCATTCCCGAGTAATGGGATCAGAGTCCCTCAGAGAAATGGCCAACCCCTGTCTGGGGACAGAAAGAACAGGACAAGTATGGAATGTCTTATTGTACTGAAAAGTAAGGAAGTGCTCAAAGAATAACGGGGTCATGTTAAAAGGACATGGAGCTAGATTTAAGGGGCTACCATATGCCAACATGGGAATAATTAGAGCATCAAAATAAATAATGATAATGAAGAATTATAATCCTTTCAATACAGTAAGAATCCATGAGTCCACAGTGATATAAATGATTGATTAAGTAAATGAAATGGGGTGGGATGGGGTAGAAAGCTCTTCCTTAACTGTACAAAAATGACTAACATGGGTAAGAGGAATGATGGAATAAGAAAAATCACCATTTTTCAATCATCATCATAATTGATTCAGGCAAGAATCATCAAAGAATGGTAGTGTATGAAATTTTGAGAAGTATAGGATATTCACATATATCCTATAGTCTTATTATAGTCTCAAAAGGCACCCCTACAACTTACTTTTCAATTACAATTAAAAGTTACAGAGGAGAAATCTGGCAGACACTGCCTGAACCAATCAAGTTACCACGGCCCATAATGAAGCCAGTGGACAGCAGGGCCTTCTGGTGAAGTCAGCATCACTTCTACGATTTCTTTGCCAAGAGCATAACCTAAATCTATACAATAATTGGTTTCTACTATTCATAATTGCCAATATGATGAAATAGAATATAAGACTACAGATTAAAGAAATTAATTTCAAGTTAAAGGAATTAAATGTAACAGGACCTTAGAAAGACTTTACTGGGACAATTAAAATCTCAATAAGATCTGTAAATCATATAACAGCATTTTTTCAATGTTAGGTTCCTGGTTTTCATCATTGTTCTGTTGTCATGCAAGAGAATTCCTTGTTTTCAGGTAATACGCACTAATATATTTAGAAGTACAGGAGAATGTGTCAGCAACATACTTGTAGGTGGTTCAGGATGAACAAATGGCCTTGGGGTAAGGAGCATAAGGAATGAAAAGAGGGGGAAAAAAACAAATGTAACAAAATGTTGACATTTGGAAATCTGTGTAAAGGGCATCCAGGAATTCTTTGTCCTCTTTTGACAATATTTCTGTGACTGAAATTATGCCAAAGTAAAAAATAAATAACTTGGAATATAAAGTGATACATTTGTCAAAACTCAGGAAACAATACACTAAGATCTGTACATGTATAAATAACACTTGAATTAAAATTAAAGAAGCTTATTCTAGATGTTGTATCAAATGTTGATGATTGGAACACTTCAACAATTCAAAACATTAGTTAGAAACCCATCAAGAACTGATCCAAACAAAGACTAACTTCACGTTGACCGTTTTGGAGCTCTGCAGTGGTGAACCAGCACCAGTCGCCTGGCCATCATTCCTGCGAGCACAGTGAGCAACAGTTCTCACAATTTCCTGGCTGTGAAACACTTTCCTGCCTTGCCCCCCAGGAGGCCCTCTGTGTGCTCAGCCAGGCAATGCCATCAGCTACACTATACTCCCTTATTAATCAACCTCCAAGTGTATAAGCTTGTTACAAGCAAACCTATACCTTAATTTTTTTTTTAATTAAAAAAAAAAAGAGAGAAGCCAACTCTGGTGGTAGTAATCTCTGACGAGGGTGCACATTGCTAAATGAGCCCTAGGGTGACGCCTCTGCTCCTGTTCAAAGGCCAGAACGGGAGTTAGCCAGGGTTACAACCTCTATTACAACCAATTAATGCCTTTCAAAATATTTTTTAAAAGATTACTATCTGTGTAATACTAACAAAACACTAACAGAACAAAATGACCAAGATGTCTCATACCTTGCTTTAGAAATATGATAAATTCCTTTACAGTTTGGTCCAAATTAACTCCATGATATACCACAGGTTTGAAATTTCGATGCTCAAATGAACGAATGAGGCGAACTGTGATGGTCACTTCTTTGGAAGCCATGTGAAGAAATTCCTGTGGCAAGGGACACAAGAATAGTCTAAATAACACCAGCTCACAGTTATGGGATGCATTTCAGCTCTCTGACACACAGCCCATCTCTCCCATAATGTCTGGCAGAGTCCCCAAACCCAAACCAGATTTTGGGACACCCACAAGAGTCCCCAGGTTACTCGCTCCTATCCACTGTGACCTGGAGAGCTTTGTCACAGTCACTGATGTTCTGATTGGCAGAAAGCTGACAGGGCACAGAAAATGAACACAAGTGACATGTGTGAGGGGCAGTTCATGCATGGGGACCAGTGAGGGTTGCCACAGAAAGAGGCATGGCACACACACAGCTGCCTTGGCATAGCTATGCTGGTGGTCTCCTCCCCTGGCCCTGCGATGACGTATGCTTCAGACTCAACTATCAACAGTCACATTTAATCTTACAAATGTGCCAGATTTCAGTGTTGATTTAATTATATGATATAGTATTACCAGTCTTTTATAGTGTTTTTTAATGTGAATATGTTTATTTCATCCTAAAACGTACCAGGGCTGTGTGCCAGGTATTAATGTTATCTCATGATTCTATCACCAAACCATAAATTACTGAACTCACTTTAAGGATGAGGAAACAGACTCAGAGTGATTGTACAAATTGCCCAAAGTCATAAAGCCAATAAACAAAAAAAAGTTAGGACTCAGGCATCAATTCAATTCCAAAGTCCATGTTCCCTCTAATATACTGCCAGAAAATCACCCTGAATTATTTTTTCCAAAAATATCTGCAAAGTTGCCAATGCTTTAAAGATACTAATATAGTATATTTCTATCTCGTAGTAACTACTTCATGCAACTTTCAACTTTACATACAATTTTCAGCCATAATATACACATGATAAGAAAAAAATACCTTTAATACTAAAAAATATAAGATGTCCAGTCTTACTAGTAATCAGAGGAATTCAAAATAACAGTGAGATATGTTACTCATCAAACTGACAAAAAGTCTGACAACACCTAGTGTTGGCAAGGGTATAAAACAATGAGAATTTAATCAGTGAAGGTGGGCATCCAAATGGGTGCTACTTTAGGAAGCAACACTGAGTAAAACTGAAGATACACATACCTTTTGATTTGGCAATTTCATTCATAGGTAGGTACCCCACAGAATCCCTCACCTATGTACACCAGGAGAACTGTAAAAGAACATTCATAGTAACAATATTTGTTAATTGCAAAAACTGGAAACAAATGTCCATCAAGAGGGGAACAGGTAAGTAAATTATGGATAGTAAAAGCAATAAAAATGAACAACAGCTACATACATCAACATAGGTGAATCTTAAAAATATTATTGTGAATGAAAAAATACTAGTCAAAGAATGAGAATATACCACCTTTTGCATACACAAGGTTCAAAAACACAGCTTTTATCATGTTTAAAAGGAAATAATTAGTTGTTACCCCTAAGGCAAAGGAAGGAGTATACAATTAGGGAGATCACATGCACTTTGATCATGTTGGTAGCATTTTATGTCTTGAGTAAGACATTAGTTACATGGATAGTAGATTATATTTTATACTTTTTAGTGTATTTGGAATATTTTATAATAGATAGAAACATGCCACACTAATTTGGCCTAGAAAATCTCTCTGAATCGTAAAAGGCTTATACAAATATTTTACTAGGTTTGAGAGAATATATAGCATAATGGAAATCAAAGTTCAAACTGTTTTAATAACATAAAATAATTTGTAATTATAATTAGCATACTGTGCATAATTAAATGAATGGTTCCTAGAACTGGAAATAATATTTCCCTCTAAAATAAGGTAAGGAGTTATCTTACAATCTTGTTTAGAGGTAGAGTTTAAATTAACAAATCTTTTAAAAATCCCAATATTAGCTACTATGCTATTTGTTATTAAATCTGGTTTGAAATGTTCTCCAAAATTCTAATCCTAGAATCTACCACATAATAGCAGTTCAGCAAACACCTAAAAAATTACAATTTAAAATAGACTAGAGTACTTAATAAAGAATACCTCTTGAGGAAGGGATATTATAAAGAACTTCTGCATTTCAGAAGCAGTGTTAACAGGTTTGTTAAAATTATGACCACTACTTCCCCCTCTTACCTAAGCCCCCAAAATAATAGAGATGCCCTCCAAAACATACCCACACAGGTTGGGAAAGCCTAGAACACAGTCCCAGGCCCCAGAGGTTACAGCTAGACAGATGCAGTTTAAATATTAATTCTACCTCTTGACTGTGACACTGGGATCACACATAGTAGAATCAATAAAAAGTAGCTGCTATTATTGTTACTCTACTTGGAATAAAATACATTTGGGCATAAAGACAGCTCATAGAGGCAGCAGATAAAGACACCAGATTCCCAGGTACAATTAAACAAATCATGTACATGGTCTAACCAAGGAAGCCAGGCATTATGCAACTACCTTGTAACTGTAGGTTTGGGTTTTTTTTCACTTAATAAAAAGCAGCCCAAATGTTATGCTTAAATAAATAGTTGAGGCTTTCAATTTAAAACCCCAAACCTGTATTAATGTCTAATTCTGGTGAACACTATACTGTCATACTGTCATCTTCATCAGAAATTTGTTGTAATATGGGATCCAAAGATGGCAGCTGAGTAGGTGGAAGCTGAGTCCACTTGTTCCTGCCCCCAACCCAGATTTTCAACAGATCTTCCAACAACCAACCTGATCAATGGAATCTTAGCAGATATGAAGTTCTGAAGCCAAGGAGTACAGAAGATGCTTCATACCACCTGGTAATGGGATTTTATAAGTGGAAGGGAAAACACTCTGTGTGTGGCTCCTACTGTAGCTGAGAGACCAGACAGAAATCACAGCTCTGAAGCTTCCTCCTCTCTTGGAGCAAGGGCTTTAGATCCATGCTGGGATTACCAACCCCAATCAGAGGTAACTTGGGGAAATCTACCAAGTCTGTGAGACCCAGGCTGCACACACACACACATAGCACACAGCACTCCCATAGTTGAGGTGCCAACCTGGAGAACTCCAGATAGGGGCACAGACTACTAAAGCAACCAGGTTGCCACAACCAGGTATGTCACAGGCACCTGCAGGCTGCAGCCAGCTGCAACTTTGAGAGACATCTCACTCCTTGGGGAGGTTGTATATGCAAAGATTCAGACATTGACTCAGTACTGCAGTGCAGATACAGCATAGAAACTTTTTATAAGTAACTGACAAGTCGCCAGGCAAGGACCCAGGCACAGCTGCCCTGCCAGCAGAGACCAGAAATTGAAATTGCAGCAGTGCAGCTCCCTCCCCTTGGAACTGCAGGGTCCTAAGGATACCTGCAGCAATAGAGAGGGAAAGGGAGGCTGTGGGCTCTGGCAGAGGGAGGCAGTGAGGTTCCACCATATCTGTGAAAATCAGATATCACAATTCAGCGTGAAGTGCTCCTATGGTTTGGGCACCAAGCTGAAGAGTTCACTATACAAATGCAGACTAAGGAAGGAACCTAGTAGAATGAGAAAATTATTTTTTGACCCATTCTGAACTTTTCTCAGCTGCTCCAAGCCACACTGGATCTCCAGATCCTTTCCCTGAGAATTGAGCTAGGCAGGGAGATCAGAAATTTGCACAAGAGGTTTGCTGACCCCACCCAGCTTGGCTTGCAAGCAAACTGGGGGCTCTTCAGAACAGATTGTTCTGGACTGTGTCTCCTGTGAAGGCTGGGAGTTAAACTGGCAGGAGTTGAGCACATGGGATACTTGACAGTGAAGGGAACCTCCCTGCAGAATACAATCCTCTGGGAAGGCACACCTGTGCCCATCTGCCCCAGCAGGGTTGCAGGCACCAATTCCAACAGGGAAACTATGAAGAACAGTCCTGACAGGTCCAAAATTCCCCGACTGGGTACATTTCCGCAGGGGGAAGAAAGAGGAACTCCAAACAGGACCATTCTGAACTTTTCTCAGCCATGCCATGCCACACTGGTTCTTTGGGTTCTAGCCCACTGAAACCAGCTGGGCAGAGAGATCAGAAATTGTGCAACAAGGGGTTTTCTGGGCCCTGCCCAGCTCTGCTAGCAAGTAAACTGGGGTCTGCAGGGAACAAAGAGTTCTGGTCTATGTCTCCTGCAGAGGCCATGGGCTAAGAACTAGGAGAGAGTTGAACACCCGAGATACTTGGCAGCAAGGCAAACCTCCCTGCAGAATACAATCCTCTGGGACCGGAAAGGTGTACCCATCCCCCTCCTGCAGGGTTGCAGGCATCACCTCGAAGAGGGGAAACTCTTTAAAACAGTCCTGCCAAGTGCAAGATTACCCTGCTGGGTGCATTTCTGCAGGAGGAAGAAAGAGAAACTCAAACAGGGACTCTCAAAGTGAGAATTTTGGAGGGTATTGCCTGAGAGCAGGACAGACAGTTTAGCCTCTTACTGAGAAAGTTAGTTTAGTCCCCAGTGTGGTCTGATCTTGCCCCAAACTCAAAGGGAGACTTCTGATCCATCCCTTGAAGTCCATCCAGAGCAGCTACCCACTCTTGCAAAGAGGAAAGTTGAATGTGCCCATCCTGAACCAACAGTGAGCCCCCCTGAGGAAGCAAGAGCCCAAATCTCTGGTAAAGACTACAGGAATTAGCTCTGAGTGGGGCTACTCTCCCCTCACTGAGTGCCCTACAGACTACAATTCCAACAAAGGGAAACCTGCTAGCCCTATTTCAACAGATCTGATCTCAGCTTATAGACCCTTATCAAAAGGCTCTGGAGACAAACCAGGCAACCACAAAAGGGCACAGAGGCTTAAAGATGAGGCCGACCCCATCTTTAAGCCTCTTAAGCTTCAGCTCTTATACAGAACTGCCATCAGAACCAAGCAGGAAAGAGCTGATCCGTTTACACAGATCGGCCCCTCACATGAAACAGACTGCTAACTCTTTAGGAATTATTCACTACTACTGGAAATGATTTAGGACAGACCAAGACATGCTGTGCAAGGACAGGGAACATACCCACCATCTTACCTAAAATCTAAACAGCTCTTCCCAAGGGAGATCCAGGGGGCCCATCTTCCCAATTGTATCAGAACCTCTCTCAGAAACAGACAGGTCAGTGGCTAGACTAAGACTAATGGGAGGACTGCAGATAAAGTCAAGTGCAGGCAGTACCTGTGGGCCTTATGCTGAAAAAAAGCCAGCAGTGAAAAGCAGTAAGGACCATCCTAGTTGAGCCAAGCCTGAAGGAGACAGCCAGACTGCGGATTGCTTATAACTCTTAACAGGCTACCTACAGCTAGACAGGGACAACATCTGACATTGGCTTATACCAGCTTTAGACAACACCAGAGTCATATCCAGAAGGAGAACCCAGCAGGCAAGCACGAAATTCTGCTGAGACAAATTCCACTTCATTCTTTTCCATTATTTACATTATTTTTTCTTTTGTATACCTTTTTAACATTTTTCTATTCCTTCAAATTTATTCCTACTTTTTTTACTATTTTTTATTTCAAAAATTTATTTTAACTCATTTTACTTTCCCCTTTTCTTACTCCATTTCTTTCTTCTTCTGTCCCTTTCTTACTCTTTATTTTTTCCCTTTCTTCAACCCTTTGTGGCAATTCTTTGTTTCTATCCTTACTCTTACTATTTCTCCTATCTCATCTTCTCACAAGCATTTTTCTTTACTCATCTCATATCCTTTTTTTATTTCTTATAATATTCTTATTCTCTTTCCACCTTTATTAATCTTTGCTCATTTTCCATTGATATTGCTGTTGTTGTTGGGGGTATTTTTGCTAGTGTGGGTTTTGTTCACCGTGTTGTTTTCTTTCATTGTATCAGCAGATGTACAACAGCAAACAAGATGTGGTGACGGCTGAGACTCTCAATAAGCCAGCCAGAGGCGAGAACCCACCAACTAATGGGCCAACAACAATCAAAACCCAAATACAACAGGAGAGCTCATATAAACTTCATAAAGGATCATCCAGCTCAGGAGATGAAGAAAACTGCACCACTGAGTGCCACAAAACTCCTACCACATGAGACCACCCCATGAAGACAGGGAGTCAAAGCAGATCAATCTAATACGCAAAAACAAACAAAGAGTCAGCCAAAATGAGGAGACAAAGAAACAACCCCCAACCAAAAGGAAAGGAGAAATCCCCAGAAGAAGAGCTAAATGAAATTGAGGCAA